CCCCCACTTTGGGAAACGTTTGCTCTTTTGGGGTGAATTCCCCCTTCTTTGGGTCGCCCCTCTCCAACTTTGGGCACATTCCTCCTTTTTTGGAGCTCATTCCCCTTTCCTCAGGTTCCTCCCCATGCAGTTTTGGGGACATTTCCCTCATTTTGGGGTGCATTCCCCCCCTCCCTATTTTTTTGGGTACATTTCCCATTTATTTGGCTGCCCTCCCCTTTTCCTGCATTCCCCACTTATGGGCGCATTCCCAACCTCGGGGTGCACCCTCCCTCCCCCCCTCCTCCCCATTTTGGGTGCACTCTCCCCTGTTTTGCCCGCTCATTCCCATCCCTGCGTGCATCCCTCCCCCCTTTTCAGCTCCATCCCCCCTTTCCTCGGGTGCATCCCTCCAATTTAAGATCCATTTCCCCTTTTAGTTTTTTGGGGAGGGGGCGAGTGTTTCCCCATTTCTTTGTGTTCATCCCCCAGTTTTCATCTTCCTGCCCCATTCCAGTCTCACCTCCAGCCCTCCTCCCACGCCACATCTCCTCGTTGATCCCAATCCTACAATCCCTGGAGGTCGATGACACCCTGGACATCCCATCCCTGGTGCGGGCGCTGGGGGGCTGCGGGACCCCCGTGTGCCACACACTGCTTGGAGACCCCCCTCCCACCCCAAAGCCCATCCCCGAGCTCTGGACGCTGCTCGCCCACCTCCTCCACCCCAACACCACCGCAGAGCACGGCCTGGTGTTGGCACCCGATGGTTCCACCGTTGCGTTGGCACCGCTCTTCGCCGGCATCGAAGTGGGGCTGAAGAGGGCAGCGGGGTGGCCCGGCCCCATTGATCAACCCAACTGGGCTGCTCTGGATGCTCTCTATGCCGTCACCATCGCCGAAGCTCTTGGGACATCCTTCCTCATGGCACGGGTCAACGGGACGGCAGCCCTGGGACCCGATGGCTGTTGGGATGACGTGGACAACCCACAAAACTTCACCCCATTGGGTCCCCCGTCGCTCGTCCCTGACGTTGTTGCCAACGGGGCGATGGATGGGGTGCTGTTGGGCACGCGCTTGGCTGAAGAACCCATCCCACTCTCCGTCCTATTCCGGAGATATTATGGTGTGGAGAATGGGATCATAAGAGGGTGGCCTCACAGCAGCCGCCGGCGTCAGGATTTCGGGGCGCTGACGGCAGTGGGAAAGTTGGAGGAGGAGGTGGTGGCGATGCTGAGGGTACTGAGGGGGCTGTCACCCACCTGTGAGCTCCTGGAGGAATTTGGGGAGGAGGAGGAGGCGGGCATCGCTCATCGGGCAGCACGGGAGTTCATGGAGGTCTATGTTGGTGAGTAGGGGCCCAAAGTGAAGGTTGGGGTGGGAGGTGGGTGGTGGGATGGGGGCAGGGATGGGTGCTGGGAACGGTGTTGGGGTGGGTGATGGGATAAGAGGAGGGAACGGTGTTGGGATGGGGGCTGGGATGGGTGCTGGGTGCTGGGATGGGTGGTGGGAACGGAGATCAGGTGAATGTTAGGACGGATGGTGGGATGGGGACAGGGATGGGTGCTGGTGTGGGTGGTGGATGATGGGTGGTGGGAATGGTGGTGGGTGCTGGGGTGGATGTTGGGATGGGTGATGTTTGCTGAGATGGGTGCTAAGAATGGCTGGTGGGTGCTGGAATGGCTGGTGGGAATAGGAAGGGTGCTGAGTGAAGCCGGGGGCATCCCAGGGGAGGTGTCACTGTGCTCATGGTGACACACGGAATGGCGTGGCCAAATACCAGTGTGTTCCCTGGACGGACACCACTGAGTCCCCAGATGGTAGATTTTGGGTAGACACCTCTTTATCCCCTGGATGGACACCGGTTTGCCTCTAGCTGGTGGTCCCTGGATGGACGTTGCCACGTCCCCTAGGTGGATATCAGTGCATCCCCAGTTGGTGGCCCAAGGATAGACACCATCACGTCCCCTGCATGGGTACTGCTTTGTCTCTAGTCGGTGGCCCATGGATAGGCAACACCACATCCCCTTGCTGGTCACCAGTGTGTCCCCACATGTCAGGTTTTTAGATGGACACACCAGTGTCCTCCGGAGGGGTGTCCCTGGATGCTGGACAAAGCCATGGCAGCCAAGATTCTCCCTGTCCCCTGGACAAGGTGACCCCAGGTGGACTCAGCAGTATCCCCAAACCAAGGAACTCCCCAAACTCCACATTCCCAAGACCAAATACACCCCCACAACCACCCCCTGCCTTCCCTCGCAGAGTGCCCAGCCATCATCCCCCGCTGCATGTGGGGTGCCCGTCCCTACCGGGGCACCCCCAGCCCCTTGTCCCCACCTTTGGGTTCCATCTACATCCACCACACCTTCGTGCCCAGCGCCCCATGCCGCTCCTTCGCCGCCTGTGCCCGCGACATGCGCTCCATGCAGCTCTTCCACCAGGACACCCGTGGCTGGGATGACATCGGCTACAGGTGAGACTGGTGTCACAGTGAACCCACCACGGTCCCTGTGACTGGAGGGGAATGTAGGATTGACCAAGGTAGGGTTGATCAACACAGAATTGACCGATATTGGGTTGACCAGCATTGGGTTGACCAACGTTGGGTTGACCAACATTGTGTTGACCAACATTGTGTTGACCAGCACTGGGTTGACCAATATTGAGTTGACCAACACTGGGTTGACCAATATTGGGTTGACCAACATTGGGTTGACCAACACTGGGTTGACCAGCACTGGGTTGACCAACATTGAGTTGACCAACACTGGGTTGACCAATATTGGGTTGACCAGCATTGGGTTGACCAACATTGTGTTGACCAACATTGTGTTGACCAGCACTGGGTTGACCAACATTGAGTTGGCCAACATTGGGTTGACCAGCATTGGGTTCACCAATATTGGGTTGACCAACACTGGGTTGACCAGCATTGGGTTCATCAATACTGGGTTGACCAGTATTGGGTTGACCAACACTGGGTTGACCAATATGGGGTTGACCAACGTTGGGCTGACCAGCATTGGGTGCCCACAGCTTCGTGGTGGGTTCGGATGGATACCTTTACCAAGGGCGAGGTTGGCACTGGGTGGGTGCCCATACCAGAGGTCACAACACCAAGGGTTACGGAGTGGGCTACGTGGGCAACTTCTCAGCCAGCTTGCCGGATCCCCAAGCCATCGCTTTGGTGCGCGATGGCCTCATACCGTGTGCCGTGAGGGCTGGGTGGCTCCACCAGAACTACACTCTGCATGGCCACAGGCAAATGGTGAACACCAGCTGCCCCGGGGATGCCCTGTTCCAGGAGATCCAAACCTGGCACGGCTTCAAGGTGGGCACTGGGTCCTGTGACATTGCTGGGGTCGGGGTTCTGGCTCACTCTGGTGTGCCGGAGGTGGAGGGTTGGGGGAAGTGTGGGGGATGCTGGGGATGACCATGGTTCCTTGTCTTCTCTTCAGTGAGGATTGGCCCCATGGGTGCTGGTCTGCGTGGGTGCTGCGAAGGTTGGATCCCGGTCTGCATGGATCGTGGTCTGATGGGGGTCAGACGGACACCGTAAGAACTCGATCCCAATGATTCCAATCTGCGTGGAGCCTGGCCCATGGGGATGCCAACCCAATGAAGTCAGACCACGTGGATCCCAGGCTGTGTGGACAACAACCCAATGGATATCAGACCAGACGGACCCTGGTCCATAAAGACCCCAACCCAATGAATTCCAGATCAGAAATTCCCCAGTCCGCATGGAGCCCAACTCAGTGGATGTCAGAACAGATGGACTCTGCTCCATATGGACTCCAACCCAATGAATTCCAGACCGGAAGGATCCCAGTCCACATGGACCCCAACCCAAGGATGCCAGACCAGGACACTGGTCTCCAGAATGGTGTGGACCAGTCCTGGCTTGCTCCCAACAGACCATGGCCCACGGCCTCAAACATCCCATAATAAAGTCAGTGCCAGGATAGCTGCTCGGGGTGACCTCTGGAGAGCAGGAGGGAAACTGAGGCACGGGCCGGGGAGGCAGAATGGGGCTCTACATGTGTACCCACAATCCTTGTGCCTCCCTTACAGCACAAGGGGAGAACCCAGACGTAGCCCACCCTGAGGACACCCATGCCCACCCCAGACCTTTCAAGGCTTGCCCCCTCTCACCCAGCCCATGTAGGACTCCATAAGCCGTGTGTGCACACAGCGCTCCAACACCTCCATCTCCGATTCCTGTTCACTCTGAAACCTAATGACAGCCTTTACTCCGGTCACCGCTGTGACCCCAATACCCGGTGCTCTGGGGGGGGAAGGGGGGGGGCTCAGCTGCTCGGTGCCCCCCCGGGGCTGCGGCCGAGTGTTATCCATTGGGGCTGGGCGCACAGATAACATCATTGGGGCAGAGGCGGAGGTGAGGGTGTGACTGAAACTCCTGCTGGGTCACATGGGGAAGCCACGGCAGGAACCGGGTGTCAGAGGAGGCAGCGAGCGGCGAGGTATGGCGGGGTTGGGGGCACACGGAGGGGGGGGGGGGGGGAGGGGAGAGGGGGCACCCCAAGGGGACGCTCCATCCTTGGGAGCAGCCGTGGGGATGTGGGGTGCTGGGGTGAGCAGCACCGTGCTGATGGGGTGCTGGGGTGCCGCTAGGTGGGACGGTTTGCACCCCAAAGACCCCGAAAGTTAGCAGCACCCCATAGGCCCCAAAAGCACTGGCATCACCCCCAGGGTGGGGGTGCATCCCTGAAGGTGGGGGCGCCCTCCCTGGGTCACCCTTTGGGTGCTGACCCCCAAATTGATGGGAGCCTGCAGCCCGTGGTGTCACCACGATGAGGATCGTCCAAGCCCCACGAGCAACCCCTTAGTGCTACGCTCACCCTCGGGTCTCCCACCCTCGGGGGGGGGTCTCCCACCCTCGGGGCTCCCCCCAGCCCGCTGTGGGGCCATGCACAGGGTGCAGATGGCGGGAGGAAACGCGGCAGAGACGCGGGGGGGGGGGGGGGGGGGGGGCACGCGCGGCAGCCGCAGCCGCGGAAGCATCGTCGGCACCGCCTGCGCCCGGGGATGGGGTGGCAGTGGGGCCACCCACAGGTGTCACCCTACAGCGCTGTCACCGCGCCCCGCTGGCTCTGTGTCTCAATCTGATACGCATCCCAGGATTGGGATGGTGCAAAGGGATGGGGGTCGGCGTGTCCCATGGATATGGGGTCGGGGGGTGCCACCCTGTGGCCACCCCGCGGTCGCTCAGCGCCCATCCTCGGATATCTTCATCCTGGCATCCCTCTCGGTTTGGGCAGCCCACCCTGGCAGTCCCACCTGGGGGTTGTTTTCCACTCCCCACCCACCCCCCCCCTCCACCCTGGCGCCCCCTTTATGGGTCCCCTCGTTCTGGGAGGGGGGTGTGGGCAGGCAGGGGCACCCAAATAGGGGCAGAGATGTAGGGGTGTCCCAATAAGGGTGTCTGGGTGTGTGTGGAGGGGTCTTCAAGGGGGTGCTGATGGTGTGTGGCAGCAGAGGGGCAATCAAACAAAGGAATCTGAGTGGGGGTTCCTGGATGAGGTGTCCTGGATTTGGGCACCCAATTAGGAGCGTGCAATTGGGGTGTCAATATGGGGGTGCCGCAATAAAGGCGCCTGGATGGGGGGTGTTGTGATGTGGGTGCCTCGTGAGGAGTGCTTGGATGGAGGCACCCAAAAGAGGGGTGCTGGGGGGGGGGGGGGGGGGAACTCCTATGGGGGTGCCCACAAAGGGGTGACCCAGTTTGGGATTTTTGGATAGGGGCACACAAATTGAGGTGTCTGGGGGGTGGGTGCACAGATAAGGGCACCCAAATAGGGGAGCTGAGATGGGGGTACCCCTACAGGGATGCCCACGCAGGGGTAACCCAGTAGGGGTGTGCAAACAGGGCAGTGATATTGGGTTCCCCAATGAGGGTATCTGGATGGGGGTGTTCAGATAGAGCCCCCCAGATAAGGGAAACCCACACAAGGGTGCCTGAATGGAGTGTCCTGGGTGAGGGTACTGAAATGTGGGCACCCCCGGAAGGGATGCTTGGATGGGGGCACCCAAATTGGGGTGCTGGAAACCACACAGGGATGATCACACACGATTGACCCCAATAGGGGTGCCTGGGTGCCTGGGTGGGGGTGCCTGGATACGGGTACCCAAAAAGAGGTGTGCAAATGGGGTAGCAATACCAGAGTGCCCCAAAATGGAGGCGTTGAGATAGAGAGTCCCCAGATTAGGGCACCTGTTATGGGGATGCCTGGATGGGGGCACCCAAATAGGAGTGCTGGAATTGGGGTGCCCCAGTGGGAATGCTTAGACAGCGGGACCAAAATAGGGGTGCTGGAAGGTGGATGCCCAAATTGGGATGCCTGGATAGGAGTGCCTGGATAGGGCACCCAAATTGAGGTGCTGGGATAGGAGTGCCTGGATAGGGCACCCAAATTGAGGTGCTGGGATGGGGGTGTGTGGATAGGGCACCCAAATTGAGGTGCTGGGATGGGGGTGTGTGGATAGGGCACCCAAATTGAGGTGCTGGGATGGGGGTGTGTGGATAGGGCACCCAAATTGAGGTGCTGGGATGGGGGTGTGTGGATAGGGTACCCAAATTGGGGTGCTGGGATGGGGGTGTGTGGATAGGGTACCCAAATTGAGGTGCTGGGATGAGAGTGTGTGGATAGGGCACCCAAATTGAGGTGCTGGGATGGAGGTGTGTGGATAGGGCACCCAAATTGAGGTGCTAGAACTTGGATGCCTAACTTGGGGTGCCTGGGTAGGGGTCCCCCAATGGGGACGATTTGGATGAGGGCATTCAAACTGGGGTGCTGCGATGGGGGGCACCCAAATTGGAGTGTTGGGATAGGAGTGCCCAAATTAGGGTGCCTGGGTACGGGTGCCCCAGTAGGGGTGCTTGGATGAGGACACCTAAGTTGGGGTGCTGGGGCGGCTCACTCCATCCCACAGATGGAAGTGGAGAAGCCCCCCCAAAATGCTGAGCCACCAACGCTGCTGAAGACGTACAGATGGCGAACGGCAGCAGCCGTGGGCGAGCGGGACCCCGAGCGGTGCAGTGCGACCCCGGGTGGTCGGCACTGGAGCCGGCTGCAGGGCTGGAAGCGTTCCTACAGCCAACCCGAGTCTGAGAGCCTCGACGACGGCGTTGGGAAGGGCAGCTCCAACCTGGGGGCACCCAAAGCCAGTGCCCGTCGGTCCCTCTTCCAAAGGGCGTTCTCGGCGCCCTCCAAGGTGGTCAAGGAGCCACGCAGCCCCGAGGGTGGCAAAGGCACCCTGCAGAAATACCTGCGCTCCGTGTCCAAGAAGAAGGGATACGTGGAGAACGGGGCCAGGGCTGAGAAGGGGTCCCACGAGGGCATCCCAGGTATGGGGGTGTTTGGGGCGGTGGGGATGGGGATGCGATGGGAGTGGGATTGGAATGAGACGGGGATGGAATGAGGATGAGGTGGGAGCGGGATGGAGATGAGGAGGGGGGTGGGATGGGGATGTTGTTGGGGGTGGGGATGGGGACGAGATCGGGGTGGATGGGGGTGGGATGGAGATGGAGATAGAATGGGATTTGTGTGGGGAGGAGCTGGGATTGAGGAGGGGATGGAATGGGTACAAGATGGAAGTGGGATGGAGATGGAGATGGGGGTGAGGTGGGGATGGGAATGGGGATGGAGTTGGGGGTGAGGATGGGGATGTGGTTGGGGACGGAGACGGGGATGAGATGGGAGAGGAATGGAGATGGAATGGGAATGGGATGGGGGTGGAATGGAGATGAGGATGGGAGTGGGATGGAAATGGGGGTGGTGGTCATGGGCTGAGGTGGAGATGGGTGATGGTTTGGGGTGCAGAGCCTTGTGGGTGCTGGTTGGGTGTGATGGGTGGTGATGCTGGATGAAGGATTGTGATGAGTGATGGGGAAAGATGGTGGATAAGGGGCTGGAGGGACAGTGGGCGGTGGGCAGCGGAGACGGGTGATGGGTTGGAGGAAGAAGAGCTGGGTTTGATGTGTTGGCAGGCAGTGGGGATGGGTGACGGTCTGGAAAGCACAGGGTAACGGGATGCGCTCCTCAGCATCCCCGCAGCAATGGTGGTGCGGCCGCGGCCACATCCCCTGCCATCCTCATGGTAGCACCTCCATGGCCACTTGTCCTCCAGCATCGCCACACCAGCGGTGACACGACAGCCATGTGGCCTTTGGCATCACAGCCCCCATGATGGTGGCACGGCAGTGTCCCCGTGTCCCCCGGCTCCGCCACCCCAACCATACGACACTGTCACACCTACTGCAGCACAGTCACAGCAGCACTAAATGCCAACCATGGGACACAGGGACACAACGAGGGCCCTTGGGTGCTCCTGACCCCTCTGCTCCACCCCCCCCCCCCCCAGCCCCAGAGAGCACCCACGGCGCCCGCTCCATCCCAATGCCTCCGGCACCCGATGTCACAGTGTGGGACGTCTCCAACTTCTCACTGGTAGACAGACAGCTGATCCACGTGGGTCGGGACGAGGAGGTGAGGACCCCCTTACGTTATGGGGTGCACGGGGTGCTGGGCATTTGGTCCCTGACCCCCTCTCTGCATCCTCAGACTTCAAGCAGGAGCAGGAACCGGACCGGGAGCTCTGAGAGCAGCAGCCCTCACCCAGTGGGTGGCAGGAGGGACACCGGTGAGCCGACAACGCGGGGCGTTTGCATGCACTGGTGCAAGCTCCAATGCAGCTCCTGGGGCATGCCACACCATGCCGTGCGCTTTGCTTCCCACCACGCACCGCACCGCGCCCTGCACTGCGCACCACGCCACGCACAAACGCCTCCGTGCTCTGCGCCATGCCCTGCACACCGTGCACCACCGCGCCGTGCGCCGCGTCCTGTGCCACGCACCTTGCGTTCTGTGTCCCAACGCCCCGCACTTCGCCCCGTGCCTTGAGCTGTGCATTGCGCATCGTCGCGCCCCACTCGTGCGTCTTGCGCTGTGGATCTTGCACTGCGCGTTGTGCCCCACACCCCAGTGTGGAGGAAGCCCCCTGCGCGAGGCCCTCCGTGCGCCGTCACCGCTTCCTCCCTGTGCGCTGATCCTCCTGATAAGGGCTTCCTTGCCACCATGGGCCCCCGTCGCTGGCTGTTGTGTGTGGCGCACGGTGAGACCCCAAGCCCAGCTTGACCCCCCTGCACGCCGATGCACCCACCAGTGGGCTGCACCCAATGCGTGGCCGTGCTTCCCTCTGCTTTTTGGGGAGGTGGGTGCCGCACCCCGTTGTGGTTTTGGGGTCTAACCTGGGCCACCCCAACAGACACCGAGGAGAGGAGTGCGAGGGCAGTGGGGAAAGGCACCGACAGCGACGGCTCTACCACCTCGCAGTTCAGCAACGTGAAGGTGGGTCCCAGTGTCACCCACGGGTGTCACACTGTACCTCGGGGTCACCCGTTGTCCCTCCATCCCCACCCTACAGGGACTGTTGTGGAAGCGACTGCGGGAGCGGAAAGGTCGCATCGTGTCCAAAAATGAGAGCTCAGTGGCGGTCGGCACAGATGGAGAAAGGTATGAAGGTGGTGGGGACAGCGTAGGGGCAGCGTGGAGGGTCTTTGGTGACAGCTGTGTCTGCCACAGAGCCCCGAGCCGCAGCGGCTCCCACGAGTCCCTGCTGCCAGCACCCAGCGCAGCCGAGCTGGACCTCAGCGGGGAGAATGTCATCGTGCGTCCTGTGCACGGCAGCATCGTGGGCGAGAAATTCTGCTTCCAGGTAGTGGTGCTGGGGGAAGGGCAAGGCGAGCAGCCCATACATACACCCTATAGAGGCACCCAAAGTACCCCAGGGTACCTTGCAGAGTCACCCAGAGCACCCCAGAAATCCTGGATGTGCATCCAGAGCACCCAGGGCACTCTGTAGAGGCACCCAGGGCACACAGGGCACCCTATCAGGGCGCCAAAGGTACCCTGGACCTATAGAGGCACCCAGGGCACCTCAGCACAGGCCCCCAGGTGCCCCCTGACCCCCTCCCTGTCTGCAGATCATCACAGGTGGGCACAGCCACTCCTTCGGGTGCAGCTCCTTGGCTGAACGCGACCGCTGGATTGAGAACCTGCGCCGCACGGTGCAGCCCAACAAGGTGGGACCCTCAGGGACCTCCCACAGGCCCTGTCCCCATTGTGTCCCCTTGTGTCCTGCTGTCCCTCTGTGGATTTGGCCATCCTCTTGTGTCCTGAAGTATTTGGCCATCCATATCCCTGTGTCTCCTCCCATCCCTCGTATCCCCTCCAGTCCCCTGTGTTCCTTCCAGATCGCATATCCCCTCTTGTCCTCAAGGCCTCTTTGTGTCCCCTGTGACCCCTCCTGTCCCCAAGGCCTCCTCCTATCTCCCATGTTCCCTCATGTCCGCCACATCCTCTCCTATCCTGTCCACTCCCCTCATGTCCCCAGTGCCACATCCTGTCCCCCATATCATAGAACCACAGAATCATCGAGTGGGCTGGCTTGAAAAGGACCACAGCAGTCATCGAAATCCTTTCCCCCATGCTCCCTCATGTACCCCAAGTCCTCATTTCCCCCTTGCATGCTCCATATCCCCTTATGTCCCCAATTCCCCTCCATGCCTCCTGTGTACCCTCCTGTCCCCCAAGTCCCCTCCTGTCCCCAGTGCCAACTCCTGTCCCCCATGTCCTCTCCTGTCCCCTATGCCCCCACGGCTCCTTCTTCCCCCGGGCGAGCACCCGGGCCCCCGGCTCTTCTCCAGCCCTACTTTCCCTTCCAGTCCCACACCCCCATCTGTTCCACATCTCCTCCTGCCCCCCATCTTCCCTCCTGTCTCCACTGCCACCTCCTGTCCTGTGGATACAGGTACCCTCCTATCCCTATGCATCCGTGTCCCCTCCTGTCCCCCAAGTCCCCTCCTGCCCTCAGTGTCCCTTCCTGCTCCCTGCTTCTAATCCAGCCCTCCTTTCCCATCCAGTCTCACCTCCCCACCTGCCCCACGTCCCCTCCTATCCCCCCACGTCCCCACTGTCCCCTCCCATCCCCAGGACAACTGCGAGCGCCTGGAGCTGGGGCTGAGCCTGTGGGTGTACGAGGCACGGGACCTGCCGCCCCGCCGCCGCCTGCGGTGTCACCTCCAGCTGGACGGCACGCTCTTCGCCCGCACCACCGCCAAAGCAGCCGGTCCCGACGGCGAGCTCTTTTGGGGCGAGCTCTTCCAGCTGGCCGCCCTCCCGCCCTCCCAAGCCCTCACCCTCTCGCTTTACCGTGACGATCAGGGTCACCCCAGCCAGCCGGTGGCATCTGTCACCGTCCCTTTGGCTGAGCTGGCGGCTGCCCGGCAGCCCTTGGAGCGCTGGTACCCGTTGAGCAGTCATGGAGGCGACGAACGGGCGCCGGCGGTGCGGGTGCGCGGGAGGTACCGGGAGGTGAGGGTGCTGCCCATCGTACGCTACAAGGAGCTGGCTGAGTTCATCACCTTCCACTATCGGGAGCTGTGCGCCTGCCTGGAGCCCACCATCGCCGTGAGACACAAGGAGGAGCTCGCTGGCACCTTGGTGCGTGTCCTGCAGAGCACCGGGAAAGCCAAGGTAGAGCGGCTGGTGGCCGTGGTGGGATGGACACGGTGGTTGGGGTGGGTGATGGTTGTGATGGGGTGGATGTTGGGATGGAGGGAGGGATGGATG